AAATCAATTAATGATCAGCAAAATTTAGCACCAAAATCGACTATTAATTTTCTCTACTTGTTTCACAGAACACGAATTAATCGTTTTTATACAACAACAATAGATGCCTCTTATTTATTCGTAAAACAGAGAAGATCCATTAATTACATAATAATACACGACATCGGATTAAAATGCATTTGTGAAATCTCACGATTGGACAAATAATATGTGGAGCTTAGAAATTCTACCAATATGGCAATAGATAAAGTACCTCTATCCTCAACACGAACTACAATAATCAAGACGAGCAGGACAGCAAAGATTTTCTATAATCTAGAAAAGGTATATTAAATGAATATTATTTAGGTAGCGAGAGAAATATGTAATTTCATTATATTAAGTGGAGCTTGAAGTATAGGGGCAGTCATCACCTTTCGAGGCAGGCCTAGGATCCGACTGTTCCCTCCCTAATGTGAAAAAGCTTCACTTTATATTTTTTTCTGGCCTTTAAGGGCATCTCTTTGAGGCATCCTTTTTCTCGGGAGTGGTCATTGTCCTCTAAGCAAGGCGTAGTGAGAAGAGGAAGGTTGCGAAGACTTCCCGCGGTTTATAAAACCATCAAGCTACATTGTAAAGAGTGATTTAATTGTACCCACCGAGGAAATTTTATTTCATTGGGTCATGATCAATTACTTAATTGTAATACTTTTTTTTTAGCACAAAACCCACACGTCTATTTACAGAAGATCAGACACCATCATCATCAATGATGTCGACCACATATTCTCCACCAAGAAGTTATTAGATGATTCGGATAGCGGAGCTAGACTCGAAGAGTCATTACAAGGTAATAGTGACTCTGACACATAAATTTACTAGAGTATCATATTTCTATCTTGTATTTTATTTTTCATATATTAATAAAGCCGACCCTGGTGGTTGAATTATGAGGCAAAGCCTCGAATCTCTGATTCATCATATATATACTGTAAACATATCAATCATAATTATTTTTTTTCTTGACAAAAGTGATCGGTGTGAAGATTCTTCATGTGCATGTGATTTTTATTTGAAATTAAAGGCGTAAATCAATAAAAATATTTCAAGACGTATACAATATTCTTCCGAACATTTTTGACAAAATTATATAGATTGATATTAAACATGCAATCTAAAGACGATGAGTTGAAAACTCAAGTTTCTGATTCCTCATTGAGAGAATTGAATTCCAGGCTCGTAATCAAGATTGATAAGCTTAGAAGAGAGAAGGATTCACTTATAAGTAAAAATACCGAGCTCTTGGCTAGAATTGTAGAATTAGAACAATCTATAAAAGAAGATGCTGAAAATACAAAGTTGAGATGCCGAACTTAATACCAGAATATTCGAATTAGAACAATCAGCAAAAGAAAACAAAGAGCTTAGAAACAGAGTAGCGAAATTGGAACAGCACCAGTACATCGATACTAATACCATATCGTTAGATGATGAAACAAATTCTAACGATACTTCTGAACAGATAATCTCATGTAATGAGGAGTCTAGGCTCGAAGAGCCATTGCTTCGCAATAACACATCTAATTCTGACATATACCAGGATTCGGCAACCACTACATCTCCTGCAGAAACCATATCATTTGCATCGCAAAGCAACTTACGTCGCCTGGAAGAGAAGGTAGAAAATGAATTTCGGGATCAAGAGTTACTCTCAACTCCTGAGAACACTATCCCTAAGATTTCTATATCACCAAATAAGAATGCTTCCATACACGAAGCAGAGAAATCATTACTTAATAAAGATCTAAATATTCAAGATACAAAACTTTCTTCTTCTGAATCTAAATCGTCTATTATCTCTTCATCCAATCAGGAACAAAGTGCTATTTCTTCTGAAATAAAAATTCCCTATAATCAAAAGGTTGAACAAGGTTTAATATGTGAGTTATCTACATTTATTAATGAGAAAAGCCTTTCGAATCCCATACCTGATAGACAAATTCTTGAAAACATGCTAGATGGAGATGATTCAACCCCAGGTTCTGCATTGCGTTTGGCCCATTTATTCGACAAGGCTAAAAAAACTGGCCAGAAAGAAATTTTACGTTGGTATTGTTATAGTGAGGAATTCGAAAAAAAGGTAACAGACATTAGCTTTAAAAACGAACTTAACGATCAAATGGCGAGAACACAGATTTATAATGAAATGGTTCCATTTCTTCCTGGCATTAAGAGAGAGTATTTGCATAAGAAAACTCAAAAGGCTAGAAATATTTATACATTATTCAAAGAAATAGGAATAGATAAAATCAAACAAGTTACGTATAGTGCTGATGCTATTTTTAGTTTAACAGGTGTTCAAATCCAAAATATAATAAAGCTTTTCTCTGAAAAGCCTAATGTAGAATTAGTTAACGAGCAAGCTGAATGTCAAAAAGTGATCAGTGTGAAGATTCTTCATGCACAAACAACCAAACCATCTTGCTCAAATGACATATCAAACATTGACATAAGTATATCATCTAATTTATCTCCAGAAAATGAAACTGAGGTAAGTGCATCACCTATATTTTCATCCAATCCAGCTCATAGCCATGCATATTTCTGTAATAAAACACTAGAACAATATCCTAACTTATATCAAGAAGGTAGTGATGGAAACGATGATTATTATGGAATTACTGATGAGTCTTTATGTCCGCTATGCAAATTAGATCATGACAATGATAATGGTATAGAAGGTAAATATGAAATTGGAGAATTGGAGATTCGATGCTCTGCATCATCTTATTATATTAAATGCGAACAGCGTGGAATTGAAATTGAGGTAACGGCATGAACTTAAACTTATACTAATACAATTCGCTCAAGTCTTTAAGGTGTCCCTCTGAGGCATATTTATTTTTTGTTAGTTATTGTATTGTGAAACAATGAGCTTCGCTCTAATTTAAAGAGATATGCAATCATATAAAACAGGACATGAATACACATTTAAAGGTCAGGCTCTTTAAGGGCGACTCTACGAATCATAAAACATTGACTCCCAAGTATTTGGAGTGGGAGGCTAAATTAACAGAATTACCAAGCATTTTAACAGATAAAATTCGTTCTAGGTTATATAAAAGGTATAAGAATAAAACTGGACTCAATCCCTGGATAAACTTTGAAGCTTCTAAATTCTCCCAAATCGAAGAAGATGCTGATAATTGTATCTCACAAGACTGTATTATCAAAATTTCTAAGTTTCCGGAAGAAAAAAACACAATCCATGAAGCAGTACATAAACGCTTCCCTTTCTTGATATATAACAATTCTAATGCAACCAATTCAGAAGCTAAATGCCCTGTATGCAAAGAGGTACATACACATTGAGGTATATGGGGCGATTGGAGCTGTCTCGGTAAAAATGATCACTATTTTCTTAATTGCCCTATTTGTATCGATCAAAAAAAAGTTATTATTGCTGTACAGAGCTTACCAGAAATTCAAGTAAGGGTACCAAACAAAATTAGTAACTCACCAATTCATCCAAACAAAACCCGCCTTTATCAATATGCTGTTGAAAATGACCTTGATCCTGAGAAATTTTCATTTATTACTAAGGCCGAAAAAGATAGGTGGGCTATGGGATGCTTCCTTGAAGACTTGGAGAGAGATATACGCTTTTACCGTGGTGGAATAGAAAGGCAGGAAGATAATAGAAAATATCATAAATTTTTAACAGATCGGGATAGGCTAATTGGAGAAGAATTATTACGTCGCAGTATACTAAAGAGTGGTTTAAGTACTACATGGCTAGATGATCTGATGAAAGAATGGGAAGAAATCCATACTCAATTCGTACAAATTTTTAACCAGATATAGAAGTTTTCTACATATATCGGGACACATTCATTTTTTTTAGCAAAGTGACCGGCACACATGATTTTACTTGTAATTTAGAAATATATTATTTTATTATAACAAATATGATAAGTAACACTAATAATAAATCTAATCAAAGTGAAACATTTGTTCATTTATATGGGGTGCTTTTATATAGGAGGAAGGATATAATAGCAATTCAAGAAATACTTGGTATTAGCTGGAAAGCTAGCATGACTAACAGTAATGCATTGGAGCAAATAGAACCCGAGCCCGACGGGGAAACACTTGCTGATTCATATAAGTTGTTATTACATTTGGTGGGAGATTTAATACCGATACAGAAAAATCTCGACATTGATGGCAACCCTATTCTGGCAGTGGAATATAATAATATGGCAAATCAAAACAATAGGGGCTCTTCCGATTTATCACTTTCAAAATTATTTAATTTACTTTTATACTTGGAAGAGGATATAAACACAATTCAGGAAGAACTTGGTATTGTTGGTTATACTAATCAAGAAATAGCAGAAGGAGCCGATAAAAATGTGAGAGTGTACCTCCGAAAGTTTGAGAAATTTCACAGCCCATTAGAAGATGTTCCAAGTGTGTTAATACAGAAATTCATCGATAGTGGGGTAAAGAAATTTTGGTTTACTGGTGAGGGACTACAATTATTTCCAAATATCTCTCCTCAACAATTACATGATATTTTTGTCAAAAAATTAGCTAACATCGATCAGTGTCCATGTCTAGAATCAGAAGTAAAACAAGAAAAATTATCACAGATATATATATATACCATCCCACCGTGATGTGATTGGTCGATAGTTATTCCGGTTTAACGAGGTCTTATTTCTAGGTGTAGTGGAATTTACGTAACCCAATAATTAACTCTACCTTTTACTTTACGTTTTCGAATGGGGTGTTTCCAAACTAGATGTGGAAGAATTACCAGAATCGCTGTTCGAACTATCTGAATTGGAAGAAGTATCCATGGAATATTTGACCTTATTTTTCTTACTCTTATTTTTGGAAACATCATCATTTAATCTTCTGGATGGTGGATGTGCAGGAGGTATGTTGCGAAATATTCATTGCTTATTATCTTCGATATTTGAGAGAACTTTGTTAATTATATTCATAACCTCCTCTTGATCTAGACCAGGTTTAGATTCTGTTGATTTAGGGACAAAGTCCCGTGATTCGGAGAATTGCCTAACGGCCTGCTTTGCAATAGATAAGTTATTTTTAGTGGAGATGGCTTTGTTAAAATCTTTATCGATTAATGGGATACTCATACCGTCTATCTCAATTTTAGCATGAGGATCATGGCTTCCTTTAGAAAATAATTTAAAGTTCATCTTAACTTCATGTACCCACAGCCACCCTCGACCCAATACCAGATCGAATGTTGGATTCTTGCGAATTTTGAAGTATATTGCATCGGTATAATCTAAACTTTGCCATTTTCCTTTATAGCAAAACTGTAAATCTAAGCAATTTATCTCACCTATTATGTCTCCATAGAGACACTCAGCAGGACCATAGCTAGGGCGCATTCCATGGTTCGATTTAAGTTTATTGAACAGCCTCTTGCTAATAGTATTAAACTTTGAGGATGTATCTATTAATGCTTTGACTGGAATTTTTCCTTCTACAAGAGTTTCTATGCGCATTAGTAAAATAATTATATTATATACTATTGTGAGATAGTAAAATGAGGACCGATAGAGAGGTCCCGCGTTGCCGATCCAACCAAACCAAATTACTGCGGAAGTCACGTGAAAATTAAATCATTTCTATTTTTATTTTTAACGT